GTACCTTCCTCATCCTCTGGGGGAGATAGAGGGGGGGGGGGGGCGCATGGCCTCTATTTTTCAGGGGGGGTTCGGGTACTGGTTGGGGGTCGGTTCTATGTGTACTGCATCCTCCAATTGTCCCCTCACATTAGGTACGTACGGTGGATTTTCAGTACACAGCTTTCCCTACTCACCCGGTCGCCCCGGTGGTCTAGTGCGTAGCCTCGCAGCCTGCTAAGGGCCAGGTCATGGGTTCGAGTCCCGGCAGGGAGCGTTTTTTTCTCACTAAATAAATTCTGGTCTAGGATGAAAGCGACGCGCTGCAAAGCTCGTTTGTTAGTAAACCATTATCGACTTCGTAAGTCGCGAGGGAAGGGGTTGCTGTACCCTTCTCGCGATAAAAATACCTCAGGCATGAACCGCAGGAGGGGGTCCAGCCCCCCCCTCCTATGTGACCCCGGTTGGGTCGTCTAGCTAGAAGAAGTGGAGGATTGGGGCAGGAGGGGCAGACGACAGAGTCCAATGATGGGAGTAAAAAAAAAAAAAAAAACTCAACGCGTCTATGTGTTGGGCAATCTCCAGTACAAATCAACCTGTGAGGATTCAGTATGCAGCTTTCGTCACTCAATGCGTCTGTGTGTCCGGCAGTCGCAAACGTCACTCAACCCGTTAGGTCTCAATATGCAGCTATCCTCACTCAAATTGTCTACGTGTCTGGCACTATCCAACATCACCTAACTCGTGAGGCTTCAGTATGTAGCTATCCCCACTCAGCGCGTCCATGTGTCCGGCAAACTCGAAAACCAATCCATCTGTGAGGTTTCAGTATGCAGCTATCCTCACTCAAATTGTCTACGTGTCTGGCACTATCCAACATCACTCAACCCGTGGGATTTCAGTATGTAGCTATCCCCACTCAGCGCGTCCATGTGTCCGGCAAACTCGAAAACCAATCCATCTGTGAGGTTTCAGTATGCAGCTATCCTCACTCAACACGCCTAGGTGTCCGGCAATCTCCTACATCATTCAACCTGTGAGGTTTCCGTAGCTATCCTCACTCCACGCATCTATGCGTCACGCGTCTTTGGTAGCCCATACTATGGGGGCTATGTTTGGCGTGTTTTACAGCGCTTTGCCAACAGCGCCAACCCACTTAAGTCTAGAATGGGGGGGTATTGTCTACTGCTGGAAGGATTCGATTACATGAGGCCGATCAAGTACCCCAAACATATCACACAACGGAGGGGGCGGGAGGTAGAAAAGTGGGAACCTCTCGAGGCGCGGGGCGTTCTGAAACATCATCGCCTTCCGCCGACAACCAAGAAAACTACAACAACCAAAGCCAGGCCATCAGCAGCATGAGCAGCAGCAACAACAATAACCGCAACAATCATAGCCAGGACATCATCGGTAGGAGCCGTGGCAACAACAACAACAACAACAACAACAACAACAACAACAACAACAACAACAACAACAACAACAACAACAACAACAACAACAACAACAACAACAACAGAAACCACAACACCACCGCCAAAACAGCCAGGCCATCAGCAGGAACAGCAGCATCAACCACAACAAACAACGACAACGACAACGACAAAAAGGGCAATAATCATCCACCGTTTCCGTTCACACGCACGCACCTTTACGATGAAGTCGATCGGATGCCAAAGCGTGTCGTTGCAAAGGCCCAAGTCTTGTACCGCGAACTCAGCGTCAAGAACAGCCTTTCCCGCCGTAACGAAAGGGCCATACGACTGCCACCACACACACCCCAAATAAGCAAAACACACAAACAAACCATACCGTCAGTCGCGGCTGGGGTTGAACAAGACACATGTTTGGCCGGAACGTGCGGATACAACACGCGTACGACTGCCACCACACACACATAAACAGACTATAAATAGTCGGGAGCGGCGGCGATATTTTGAAGAGAACGTACATGGCGCGTGTGACATTGCACCAACCCCTTTTGTTAGTCTTGCTTGGTTTGTTAATTTTTCGTTTCAGTAGTGTGCCAATCTCTTTTCCTTCCTCGCTTTTTTTTAACTTCTTTACGATCTCTTTTCTGCTATTTTCCTTTCCAGATATCCTTCTTCCCGTTTCTGTGACGTACCAAGGTTGAACCAGGGTACACCTACCTCCCTGGCCAGTCCCTCCGGGGTATGCCATCGGGGTTTGGGTTTTCGTCGCTTGGCAACGATGCTGATAAACAAGCCGATATCCACCCCGGTGTTTGCCATCGGGACTGGGTTTTCGTCGCTTGGCAACGATGTTGTGAAACAAGCCAATTCACTTCGTGAACTCGGCAACCTGGTTGCCGTTTTTTTTTTTACCTCTGTTTTTTTTTTTGGCGGTAACCATAATGGTGGTCGAGTAGATCATGTTGTGCGGGGTGGAGAACCCTCGCTCCGCGCAAGGGGGATGATCACACCACGTTGTGTTANATGTTGGAAAACAAGCCGATCATTTCGTGAGCTCGGCAACCAGGTTACCGCTTTTTTTATGCCTCTGTTCATTTTTTTTTGCGGTAACCATGTTGGTGGTCAAGTAGATTATGTTGTGCGGGGTCCAGAACGCACAATCCACGCAAGGGGGATAATCGCACCACGATGTGTTTAACTGGTCAAGCCCCCTTGAGGCAGTTACGCAGTGTTAGTATCTGTCTCAGAAAGTGAAAGCACCAGAAAATAAATTAAGTCATACGCAGCTAGCTGTCATCCGTACGCAAGGAAGCAAGCACAAGATCCCGAACACCTATAGCAGGATGCAGCGCACCCTTCATGCGACTCGCCGAGTATCTCACGGCGCTTCGCGCTTGGTGATGTGAGAGCCTGGTCCGGTGAGAACCCGGCGTGCTCCGTCCCGGCTTTGTAGGGATGCGAGGTCAATNTGTTAGTATCTGTCTCAGAAAGTGAAAGCACCAGAAAATAAATTAAGTCATACGCAGCTAGCTGTCATCCGTACGCAAGGAAGCAAGCACAAGATCCCGAACACCTATAGCAGGATGCAGCGCACCCTTCATGCGACTCGCCGAGTATCTCACGGCGCTTCGCGCTTGGTGATGTGAGAGCCTGGTCCGGTCAGAACCCGGCGTGCTTCCAGTCTGTGTTCACCTCGCATAGCGGGTAGAGGCGAGCTGAGGGTTCTAAGCGATCTGTCGCTGATTTCTATTGTCTTGTGGACCCTTCGGGTCCGATGCATTTTAGTATGTATACCCTTTTTGGGTAAGTTAGCCTGTGACCACGGGAATCGACCGCGTCAAGTGTTAGACTAGTACAGACATTGGAAGGTGTTGCATAGAGTGATCGGAACGGTTTTTAATGTCAGGACAACACCACCAACAACAACAACAGCAGCAACAACAGCAACAGCAACACCAACGACAACCACCATCATATATACACACGCAAGCAAACAAGCACATACAGCAGTCAGCACAGCGTGCGGGGCTTACGACATATGGTTTCAGAGAAGTACGGAGAAAAGAGAGCGGAAGAGGTTTTCGCTGCGGGCTTAAGAGAGCTGGTTCCAGAGAGCGTACGGATGTACGGAGATAACACGTGATTTTCCCGGTTATGAGCAAAAGGGCTGTAAGAGAAAATCGGATGTACGAGAGTGTCTTGGATTGTCTCAGTCTTGAGTTGGTAGATACGGTTTTGGAAAAAAACTGATGTAAGGGGGTTTTTTGGCTACATCTCGAGTCTCGTCGCAAACGTCGCAGGTTAGACTCAAAACCGGGTTTGTCGTCTGTGTTGTGATTAAGCCCTTGCCCAGCCGGCCCACATGCCAAGTCGCAGCTCGGGCTGGAATGTAGGCTTATTGTCCACGCCATCATTCACCATTAAGGATGGGAAGATCACAAACAATCCTGTACGCCAGCGGAAGCTGCGGCTTGACATTAGGACCGGCGGGTCACGGGGCTTTCATGAAATGTCGAGCGCAGACAGGAAACCTGTGTTCGAGTCGAAGCCGATGCGGCTTACTAGGGGGACCGGGTTGTCGGTTGTTTGTGAAATGCCGGCGCAGACAACAAGCCTGTGTTCGAGTCCAAGCTGATGCGGCTTGCCAGGAATGACAGGACGGACAAGGACTTTTCCCGTCCGGCTTTTCAACCGGTCCTCAGCGGCTACAGGGTGTTTCCGCGGAAAGCGTTACAGATGCACAGCATCTCCACCAAGACTACTAACCAGCGCTTCCTTCTAGTCTATGGTGGATACGCTGTGCATCTATCAGCAAGGCGCGAGGGGCATCCCGACCCCCAAAAGGAAAAAAGGAACGCATTCCCGGGGGATCTTGTGTAACCCGACCGCGGCCGTACGGGCCCACATCCACCCCCGTCGCCGGCAAGGGTCTTGAGCAATGGCATCCTTCAAAGCCCAGACCCACGCGTCCGATTCTGGGCGGCTTCAGGTACTCGGTGATCCTTCGGGAGGGCGTGGGAAATGTTCTCCGTGTGCCACTTGCTCCAGGGGAAGACTAAACGCTGGATGCCGCTCGGAGTTGGACGCCTGGGTCTCGACCAAAGGCGGCATATGCCAGTGAAGAGGAATCGAACGGTTTACGAAGACGCCCCGCTAGCCTCATAACCCCCAGGGAATTCGTTCAACTTCTGCCCTCGGAGCTGGGGCTGGACACCTCGCCTCGCGGCACCGTCCTGTTGGGCTTTCCGAACATCGGCCTAGTGTTCTCGGTTGGTTTTCCATGGGTAGTTCAACTGCCTATCCTGGAGGTATTGGGTGTTGGAACTACAAATAGTTGCCACGTTACCCGTTGGGCAAGTTGTGAAGAGGCTCCGGGGTCTGAATGATACAAGGAGCCTCTGGGCGGTTGCTATGTGTTGCGATTTGCATTAGTGAGTGACGGAGTCCCTTGTGCCTTGTGCTCTCTTGCCGCTCACCTTTGCACGGTGTCCGTGCGTCTCAACATGACCGATGCTTATAAAACGGAAGCACGTCTATATACAATGGTGCATGTCAACATGACCGATGCTTAGAAGATGAAAGCAGGTCTACACATATTGCATCTCAACATGATCGATGCTTAGAAATTGCAAGTACGTCTATATAGTGCATCTCAACATGACCGATGCTTAGAAATTGGAAGCACGTTCATAGAGTGCATCTCAACATGACCGACGTTTAGAAAGCGGAAGCACGTCTAGATATTCTTATCATGGGTTGGGTGCTAGGTAACGTGCTGCCAGATGGGCACCAGCCTAAACACAAAGAGCACAAACACCAACGCAACCAATACAACGCAATGCCCAAGCAGGAACAACCCAACCCAGCCCTGCTCAATTTGTTGTCTCCATATATCTAACCTTTAAACCACAAAGACGGCGTGTCTGAAGCAAGAAGGGTTGAAGGCAGGGAAGCCCCCAAGACAACAATAACAAAAAAAACGAAGAGAACGAAATAAAACAAAAAACAACTCACGCCGCAGTCTTCCTCATCGTAACAGTCCGTGGACAGCGCCCAGTCGAACCAGGGCTCCAACTCCTCCATCTGGAGCCTGTCGTTCTTAAGCCCCACCGATAAATTTCGCGCGTGCGCCTGGCGGAGATCCCAGACAATCAAGGGGGCGGGGGGGGTACTCTTATGCTTTGAATGCCTTAGCTATGAGACCATTGACCACGCGTCCTCGAGAGACGGAGCGTTGTTCCCACAGGACCGATCGTCGACACATTTACACGTGTGTTTTTTGTCCCTCTGACTTGCCGAATATCTCACGGTTCTTGGCGCTTGGGTTATGTGAGAGAGCCTGGTCCAGTGAGAACCCGGCGTGCTCCGTCCCGGCTTTGTAGAGATGCGAGGTCAATGGTCAAACGACTATGGCATGCACGACTATGAGCACACACACACCCCCCTCGGTGTGTGCCATCGGGATGGGGTTTTCGTCGCTTGGCAACGACGTTGTGAAACAAGCTAATTCACTTCGTGAACTCGGCAACCAGGTTACCGCTTTTTTTCACCTCTGTTTTTTTTTTGCGGTAACCATAATGGTGGTCGAGGAGATCATGTTGTGCGGGGTGGAGGAGCCACACTCCGCGCAAGGGGGATGATNGTACGAATGAAAGAAAGTAAACACAACATGCCGAACACCCTTAGCAGGATGCAGCGCACCCTTCATGCGACTCGCCGAGTATATCTCGGCGCTTCGCGCTTGGTAATGTGAGAGCCTGGTCCAGTGAGAACCCGGCGTGCTCCGTCCCGGCTTTGTAGGGATGCGAGGTCAATGGTCTAACGACTACGGCATGCACGACTATGAGTACACCCC